AAAAAAAATGTTTAGTTCTGTCAATATATACATTTTTTTGTCGGTCATGGGGCTTGAATTCTTGGCCTGGGCACTGTCCCCCAGCTCTTCAGCTCAAGGCTAGTGCTCTACCACTTGAGCCACAGCGCCACTTCTGGTTTTCTGGTGGCTTATTGAGATAAGAGTCTCATGGACTTTCCTGCCTGGGCTGGCTTTGAACCTCGATCCTCAGATCTCAGCCTCCTGAGTAGCTAGGATTAAGGCGTGAGCCACCGGTGCCTGGCTTGTCAATATTTTTAAGGTGAGGCAATAAAATATTTTTATGTATTAAGTTACTATAGATTATATCCAATTTTAAATGCTGGATTCCTGGGAAGCAATTGCAAATGTTTATTTAGCATTAGTCTTCAACATGTTCATATCCTAAACAAATGTTTTAAAATGCAGTAAAATATTTTTGTTTAGGATTATTCACTGTCACATTATTCATCAGCAAAATGCCTTTAAGGCTTAAGTAAATTGTATACACTTATTTTAGACTTTCAAAAAACACTTGAGTGATGTGAGAAAATGGTCAGGATAACAACAAATTTAAGAATGGTGCAAAGCTGTATAAAGTGCTTATAAGAAGTACGTTGCTGTGTTACCACTGTTGCTATCTCGTTATTGGCTTATGTGTGATTAATTCCCGTCTGTATTGTTCCCAGCTGCTCAGTCACTCTCCTCTTCCCATCGACATCAGAAAAGGTGAGAGGAAGAATTTCTCACACAGGAGCTTCCAGGAATAGATTGAGACACCATTTGCTTTTCGTGACCTAAGCCTGAAGCAGGCTGTCTGTGGCCATCTGAAGGGACTTGTGAAATATAAGACAAGCTTTATCATCATCATAGCAAGTCAGTTGTCAGCTTCCGTGGCCATCCGTGAACACTCAGGGCACTGAGCAGTCCAGAGTTGGCACACTCCTACTCTGTTAAATCCAGCCGAAGCAGGTAATATGGCTCCCACATTGAGGACTCCCACACAGCATGAACAAGGAGGACTGACTAAATGGCATGTCATGGGTCTTACTGCTCTCCCCGCATGCACAGTATGTTCTGTCTTTGTGACTGTGTATTTACTTACCTATCAATAAGGTCATCTTTCTTTTTTTTTATTTGAGTCATATTCTTCCTTTAAGACTGTAATAAAGCTCTATCAGGTGCCTACTTGTCTCATATGTAGTTGGCATAACCTTTTGGGAATTGTACTCACTCACCAGCTGATAACTAGAATATTTTGTAGATAATCCTGTGTAGCTTTCTGAACCTCTCTAGATATATATTATATTAAAAATGGTGGCTTGGAGAAACTCCACTTCCCATAGGTTTCATGACATCAAAGGTCCAGGGAAGGCAGTCAGTTGAGGATTCCAACTGCTGTCCTTTGGATTTTCTAAGCTGTTTCTGTACTAAGTAGCAGCTGATTGGCTGTTAGCAAAGTTATGTGGTCAGCTGCACCAGTCCTCTGGGAAAACACAGCTCTTGGGGAGCTTCTTTCTCAGTCTATAAGGAAGTAAATGGGAGAAAAATATAGAAAGTAAACAACAACCAGTTGGACACCCAATTAGAGGTAATTACAATAACATTAACAAAAAGGCCCTATTACAGTATGAATGTATAAAGTAACCACTATTCCTTGATAATGCGATAACCGTAAGTATATCACATAGGGGAGAAGAGAGGGTGCTCCTTTGGGAAAATGTCTGATTTCTATTTGGTACCAAAAAGAGAAAGTGCCCAAATATGTGGCATGTATCAATCATAGAAAACCCATGATCCCTAAATGGGGAATGGTGACTACAGTAACTGCTACCAGCTTAACTGACAAAGAAGTTGCTTCAGTGGATAAAGACATAGACCCAGAGGCAGTTCTATCAGATACTCAAACATAAACACAGTGTGTTTAATTCTCACACACTGTGTAGCAGGTGTGTCCATTTTTTCTGACTATAAAGAAGCAAGTTACTAAAGGTTAATCATGTCAGTTGACAGGGTTTATCTTACATCAAAGTCTGTGCTTTTTTGTAACCATGAGGTAACTGTTGAAAGTGCTACCAAATCAGAAAATTTTCTAATATTGAAACAAAAATGAGAAGAGTAAGACTAGTATATTATGAGCAGAATAATGATGGATAAATAAATCTATTAATTTTGGTGTTAGGTCAAATGTAATCATACACTTAATATATTTTAGTTTTTAATTTCCTTTAGTGGTCCAGGCTTTGAAATTATGCTGTCTTGCTCACAGCTGGTGCTGTCCTTGAGTCACAACCCCACCCTACTTTTTTTTTTTTGTCGGTCGTGGGGCTTGAACTCTGGGCCTGGGCGCTGTCCCTCAGCTCTTCAGCTCAAGGCTAGCGCTCTACCACTTGAGCTACAGCGCCACTTCCGGTTTTCTGGTGGTTTATTGGAGATTGGAGTCTCACAGTCTCTCCTGCCTGGGCTGGCTTTGAACTGCGATCCTCAGATCTCAGCCTCCTGAGTAGCTAGGATTACAGGCGTGAGCCACCAGCGCCCGGCTCCCACCCTACTTTTTTGCTGGTTATTTTGGAGATGGATTCTAGTCTGCTCAGAGTAGACTCAAACCTAGGTTTTTCAGACCTCAACCTCCTAAGTAGCTAGGAGGAGCCACTTGCACCTAGCTTAATTTTTCAACTTTTATTTGGTAGATCTGACTAGATCCATTGAGTCTGGAGACCTTGGTTCTAAGCTAATCTCTGACACTAAGTAGTAAGAATATTGAATATATTCAATTAATTCCTCATGTATCAATTCTAAAGTGCATTCCATGTTTTAATTAAAAGAATGAGTAGACAAATATAAGCTAAATCACTGGGATATGCAGCTAGTAGCAAAGTGATAGAGAGCCTGGAAATCACTTCTGCTCTCTCCCTTTGAACTTGCTCTCGTGGTTTTTCATCCCTCTGTGAAAGTTTAAAGGCAAAGTAAGTTTTAGTTCTATGGCCAAAACTAGATACATCCAAATGCAATAAATGGAATTAGTGATCTTACATTTATTTGAGCAAATAGAATTGGAGCAACTTAATATAAACCAGCCAAACTAGAGACCTGGAGTATAATTGCATCTCATTTAGAGGGATGAGGAAAACCGACAGTCTAATAATGATGTTATATCCTTTCATTTGAATGTTTAGGAAAATAATACAAGATGTTTCTGGTAAGAAATTCTGTGTTGCTGGACCCCAGAGGCTATCATCCTGGTTATACTAGACTTGTAGAACCGAGACAAAAGGACTCATTACTGACATATAAAACAGTATCCAGCACATGAACCTCATTTCAGTTCTTCCAGCTGTCAAGTCCCATAGAAGAAATCAACCATGGATGCTGAATTCAGTTGCTAGGCCTCCTATAGCCAAGTACAGTACCCAACGTGGCCTCAACAACAGAAATTAATTTTTTACAGTTCTAGAGGCTAGAAGTGTTGGCAGATCAAGTGTTGGCAGAGTTGTTTTCTTCTAACAGCCTTGAAGGCAGGATAGATTCTATGTCTCTCTCCTTGGTTTGTAGATGGCCATCTTGTGTCTTCATCTTCCCTCTGTGTGAGTCTAGGTCCAAATGCCCTCTTCCTGTAAGTACACTAATCACTGGATGAGAACCAATGACCTCATTTTTAACTTAACCACTTCTTTAAAGACCTTGTCTCCACGTATGATCATGTTGTGAGATTCTGGGATCTAGGACATTAACATATCAATTCCAGGTAAACAATTCAGCCCTCACTAGATACATACATGTACATTTTATGAAGTGTATTCTAGGAGAGGAACACTGATACTAGAGATTCACGTTGGAAACTACACTGTTCTTACCTGGCAGGACCTTATCCCATCTCTCAAGCCTCTTGGTTGACAACATAACCCTGAGAAAGGCCTGGATCATGAAGGCAGGGCCTTACATTCCTAGTGCACTTAGCAAGAATGTGCAAGAGTGCTCATGACTATGTGGTATGTGTCTCCAAAAGCAACAGAGTCAGAATACTGGATGAACAGACGAGCCATAGTGTCCAGAGTGCCTTCATCAATTCAGGGTCTGAATGACCTCTGCCACAATGATCTGCCATGTTAAGCCATTCCCATCTTCTGGTTTGCAATAATGATATTAATAAATGCCTTTTATGCCAGTTAGGAAATCCATTTTATTGTTTTATGTCTTCTTTTTCTCTTCTCATGCTGGGGATCTGACTAGGCCTTCTCACATTCTAGGCTTGTCACCAAACTATGTCTCCAGTCCTGGTATTTGCTTTTGTCATATAACAGGAAATACTTTTAGCTTGAAGAGATGATTTCTTTACTACATTATAGTTGATTCTATCAAAAATAACTCAAAAAGTATTTACAGAGTAATTGAATGAAAATAATTCTTATTTATTCCAATAGATGGACTCCCAATTTACATATGTCTTAATCTTGCTTTTGAATATGTTTGAATATTCATCAGGAATAATATATAATAAAGGTAAGACTATATGATTATCTCCTCAGGACTTCTCATACCTATCACTTTCTCAGTTATAGTTAAAAATGTTTTTTTAGTATTTCTTCTGTATTTTATTTTTTATTTTCTCCAAGGTATTACACCTTTTACTCTGCTATAGAGATTTCTGATGACATCACTGTGAACCATTCGCTATAATGTTTCATCAGTTACAAGTTGTGGACTATTTAATATTATAAAGGATTTATATTTGCCACGTCTTAATTGTTTGAAAAAACAATTTTAAATTTTTCCATGAGTGGTTGCACACAGTATGAATTAAAAACTGAGTTACCAGGCTAGTCAACTGAGGTTGAGGGAAATTTTCTGAAATTAATATACAGATTGCATTAGTCAATGGGACTTTCATGATGGAAAAACTTTTTAAGGAACAAGACAGAGGCATTCCTATATGTGTATACTTTTTAGATTATGCAGCATCCTAGAACATCATATTGTTGACTGGACAGATGGATGGCTGGATGGTTGGAATCAGATCTTCTAGTTAACTGGGGTTACATAAATGGATAAGTTCTGAGGTTATGCATGACAAATACATGATAATAATCCAAGATGGGAGAGGCACAGACAGACTGAAGAGATTTCAGAGAAGGGAGTGGTTAATTCCAACAGTAGAAAAGGGGCAACTCACCAGCAAAGGCTTCAAAGAGAACAATCCATCTAGGTCCCCAAATGAGTAATATTTGCATGAAGAAATATTCTACAAAGACTACATCAATACACAGGATGAATAATGGTATGGAGATAGTACATCACACAATTTGTGAAGCAAGAAGGAAAGAGTCACTTAATTTGAAGGAAGGAATAGATGTAAAATATCATAAAGGCAATGCTATCATAGAGGAACTTGAGTGTCAGGCTAAGGAATCTGGGCTTTATAATCATTGGAAGCCATTTAAGATTACTAGTTAGAAGAGTGATGTGGCTACAGCTAAAATGACTACAGAAGCATAGAGGAGGAAAACCTTTTCTTTTTTTCTGTTAGAGTCTGTGGCTGGGGTCTATGAACTGAACTGACAAAAGACATATTGGCAGGATAAAAGTATTCACATTTTATTTGCTGTTAATACTTTCACATGGCCAAATGTGAAAGTTAAAGAAAGAGTAAAAACTCCAAACAAGTGGTAAGACACCATTTCAACAAAGCAGTAACTTATGGAGCTGGGAAAAAGGAAAAGGTGTTTTGGTCTATAGTTGTAAGAGCAGGAAAGTTATTTGCAAATATATAAGAAAAAACAATAAAGAATATTATTTTAATAAGTCCTGGTGTACAGACCCATCTGTGTCGACTCTTCATCTCTAGAGAAAGGAAAGGTACAGACAGTACATTTCTCATAGAAAATTTAGAGTTTGCTTTTAGGTAGAAAGTGAGATCTGCCCTTCCTGTACCTGCCATTTCTCAAATGCCTTCAGCTTGAAATGATCACTATGACCATGTGGCTTTCTGTGGAGGAGGAGAAGGGGGGAGACTCTGGTTTCCCACAACAGCATTATGTCAAACAGATTGGTGGAGAAAAAGATGGGAGGCATTTTGCTGCATCTTGCTTCAACTTCATTGTTATAATTGTGTAACTATAAACAGGGCGATGGATTTCATAAGTAGTATGGTTTCCAAAAATATGGCCCAGAGTGGTTTTCTTATTTTATTCAATGTAGACATTCCCTCAGTGAGGGCACTTTATTTCACCACTCATGTTAAAGAGCTCACATCTGTTGAAGAAATAACTTCTCTGAATTTAACATCTTTCATTTAGTTTTTCATTCATTATTATGACAGAAATTTCTATAATCTGAGACTTTCTAGGCAAGGGGATGATCCACGCAGGTACAGGCACAAAAGCTTGGAATTGCTTCTGTCTCTCACCACAGTGTGTTATAGTTTTCCCTGTCTCATCCAAGCTTAAGAGTCTGTTGATGTGATCATATAATTCACAAAATTATACCAAAGTGTGGAGGACCAGTCCACTTATTTCACTGAGATAAGTCTAAGAAAAGGCTTCTATTTCAAGCAGATATGCATGCATGTATTTGCTATTGAGTACTGAGGGGTTAAATTCAGAGCCTCACACTCTTGTGCTCAAGGCTCCTGCTCTACCAGTTGAGCCATACCTTCAATTCTCACTTTTTGTTGGTTAATTAGAGATAAGAGTGTCTAGGATTTGTCTGCCTGGGCCGGCTTCAAATCACAATCCTGAGTTTGCAGTTTCCTAAGTAGCTAGAATTACAGACATGAGCCAGCAGCATCCAGCTCAAGCAAATCTTTAAATGAATTTAAATGCGAGAAGAAGAGAAGTAGAGAGAAGCCCATAAGCATTTTTAATGGCCTGGAGTATAGGTTTTCCATGGGAGAGTCGAAAGATTGTCCAGCATTGTTCATGCATACAGAAATATGACTTGCTGTTGAGCTTGCTGAGTTCCATCTTCCTGAGTCTCAGCTTCCTTTTCTTTAAGAATGGGCAGCAGTACAAAGGGCACAAAGCATTGTGGGAATGTCCTAACACAACATGTAAGCCCAGCAGCTGGCTCAAAGTATGTTATTCAAAGAAATTAGTTTCCTTTTTCTTACCTTCTTTCCATACAAGAAATGTTTTTTATTAGGTAATATAGGGTAACAGGGAAGATTTTTAAGTAGGAGAGTAATTTTTACTTTAGAGTCAAATTAAACCTTAAAATATGGCTGGTAGGCCTGACAAGGATGGATACAATATATTCATTCACGAATATATAAGATGGAAGTGATTTGAAAACTATTTAATGCTGCAATTCCCAGATACATTTTAAGCTATACTTACAATGCTTACACTGATATAGTTACAAATACAATTTTGAGAACAACATTGAAACTATTCAATTGGACCAATAAGATAGATGAACAGTATACAATTATAAAATAAATTTATTTTTATCTTAGTTTATATTTAATTTTTTACCTACTTCTTCCTCTGTCCCTGGTTGAATATTTGGACTTGCCTTAGGACTTTGTTTATGATGATATTGTTATTGTTATAACTCAAACTATACCGCAAGCATTTATAATTTATAATTTCAAAGCACAGCTTTGCATTGAAATCATTGTCAATGAAATAGTTGAACCCACAGAACATCTAAACCCAATTCTTGCTTATTCTCTTCTTCTTCTTTGGATCTGTCCTGGTGAGAAGCCAATCAGCTTTTTCTTGCTTCCATTTGGAGTTTTCCTTGCCTTTTTACTACCTTACTAATTCTACTTTGACCCTGTCTACTGTAGGGTTGGGCAGGGAAGGAAAGTTAAGCCTGAAGTGCTGTGTTCTGAGATTTTCATTTCCTACCTGACAAGCTGCACTTTGTGAACCTAGGGGATATATGAAGCTCACTCTCCATCTCTGTGCACTCAAATGTGTCTTTCATAGCTGCCTCCCCTTCTTTATATTAAGAATGTATTAACTACACATTTAACAAAGGCAAAGCTTCTCTGTTCCTATTGGTCACTTATTCTTTTGTCAGTTCCATTAAAAAAAAGTGTTTCTGCTTTGAAATTCTTCTGATATCCAGTTGCCATTCAGAGAGACCTTTGAGACCAGGGCCTTAGGTGACCTTATATTAATTCTTTCTTCCTAGTGGCCTGTAGGACACATTCTGCATCTTAGCCTTCACTAAGTGACCATCTCCTCATCAGCTATCTCCTGTCCTCTCAGCCAAATCATCTCTGCTCCTGTTTCTAGATAGGAATCTGAATTTGTGTTCCAAATTGCAGGGATTTGTGTTATAGTTCATTAAAGCCTCTTTCCTCATTCTCAACACAAGGAGAAGGAATCCTCTTTCCAATATCTTCATCAGTAGCTCTCTGTTAGAACACAAAATTCTCTCTCTAACCCCTTCCCCCTCTTTACGTTGCATATATCCAACACTTCCTTTTTAGCATACCTTCAAGAATAGATTTGTTATTTTTTTCTAGACTAAAATATATTTATATTTTACAGTTATGATTTTTGTTCTGTAAAAAATATTTTGTCAGTTTCAAAATTATAGTACTTTGTATAGGAATCCTTCTATCTGTGACCTAAAACCTGTAAAACAATTTTTTGTTGTTGTTGCTTAGGTAATATGAAGAGAAGCTTTGCTTGTTCCAGTGAAGGCTTCCCCAAAGACAATGAAATAATCAAGTTGTTTCTTTCCTTGAATAACTTGGTAAGTCCCCCTCACAGCCATGTCCCTTTGCATTCCCTTTAAATCCACATGTACACCCAATGGTACTGTACTCACTTGCTTTCAGACTTGGAAAGGTGAAAATCTATGCAGTTGTTTCTATTTTTGTCCACATGAATCAGCCCAGTCATTTATTTAGCTATTGAATACCCTGGGTGGGTTTTCTTTGTTGTTGTTTTTAAATGATGCCTCCTCGGTGGCTATAACATCTTGGGTTTATTTTTTCCATAGTACTAATTGGACCTTTTGAAGCTTGACAGATGTAGCCTGTTAGAGGAAAAAAAAAATAGATTACCTCACATGACCTTGAAAAACAATCTCTTCTTTCTATAACAAGTACCATGTTGTAGTTGTCATTTTGATTAAGGGATCACATGATCTTTTGATTCAAATAATAGGAAACAATAACAACAACAACAAAAAAGCATATTATTAAATTCCCACAGAGAGCCAGGCGCTGGTGGCTCACGCTTGTAATCCTAGATACTCAGAAGGCTGTGATCTGAGGATCCAGGTTCAAAGCCAGCTAGGGCAAGAAAGTCCTTGAGACTCTTATCTCCAATAAACTGGAAGTGGAGCAGTGGCTCAAGTGGTAAAGTGCTAGCCTTGAGCTGAAGAGCTGAGGGACAGTGGTTAGGCCCAGAGTTCAAGCCCCATGACCACCAAAAAAAAAAAAAAATCCCACAACTAAGTAGCATGTACCAGATCCTGGCTTCAATTTATAGCAAGACTCCCCACCTCTCAAAAAAATTATAATTTGAGCATGTGAGCATGTGGTTTGGGTTTTGTGCTTATTAAACACACAAACTTTCCAGCTAGGTACTGGTAGCTCATATCCATAAGCCTAGCTATTCAGGAGACTGAAATATGAAGGTTGTAGATCAAAGCCAGCCAGAGCAGGAAAGCCTATGAGACTCTGATCTCCAATTAGCCACCAAAAAGATGGAAGTGCAGCTGTGACTCAAGTGGTAGAGTACCAGCCTTGAACAAAAAAGCTAAAAGTTAGTTCCCAGACACTGGAAACAGCACCAAAAAAGTAAAAAGTAAAAAATAAATATATAAACTTTCTAAGGATTCTAAGGATGAATGGAAGTCTTGACAGTTAGATGGCAGGTCACTAAATTCTTTCTCAAATAAATGTTTATTCCCAAGCTAGCAATGGAAAGAAAATGGTCTTTAACAGCATTTCCTCTTCACAGATTTCTCCCTCAAATTGCTATTACTTCTTTGTTTTATTTCTCTCTTTCTCAAAGGAAATCCACTGTTTTTTCCAAACTGAAGATGAACTCACTTCAAAGGGATTGCTGAGTGTGTTCACATCCGGAGGTCTCGCTCCCAGCCTGGAAATCCTAAATAGTACTTACCATGGCATCTTCCACTTCAATTTAACGTTGGTAATTATGCTTTATTTTATTCTGTGATATGTTACTAATAAGAAGCATACACACTTTCTTATAGGATGTAGGGTGTTTTGTTCATTTGTTTGTGTTTCTTTTGCCAGTCCTGAGGCGTGGACTCTGGACCTAGATGCTAGCCTTCAGCTCCTTTCACTCAAGGCTAACACTCTACCACTTTGAGCCACAGCACCACTTCTAACCTTTTGTGTGGTTTAATTGGAGACTTTCCTACCTGAGATCATCAGATTTTAGCCTCCTGAGTCGCTAGGATTACAAGTGTGACCTACCTGCACCTGGCAGGATGTGTTTCTAAAAGATTATTTGGTAATTTTACACCAGTAGCATGCTTTAAATCCAATAATATAGTATGATTATTTTAAAGAAGTTTAAAAATGAATTTTAAACTATTTCCCTGCATATTTACTATTTCTAGTACTCCTCAGCCTTTTCTGTAGATATGTTGTCATCCAGTATCATTTTCTTTCAGTTCGAAGAAACTTTAGTATTTTCTTTCTTCCTACTCTTCCTCCTCCTCTTCTTTTCTTAAAATGTAATTTTAAAAGGGTGAAAAAGTACAGCAGTGGAGCACATTCACTGCACTGGACATTGATGAAAGTAAACTGTGTAACTCATGTGTGGAAATGGGAGGGAGGGAATGGGAAAGAATGAGGGAACAGATGATACTATGTGAAAGGAGATGTACCTATAACCTGACATGTGTAACCCTGCTGTATATAATCTCTACAGAAACAGTAAATTAGAAATATATAATTTTATTATTATTAAGGTGTTGCACAGAGGGGTTATCATTTCACAATTCGGGTAATGAGTATATTTCTTTTTGGACAATATCACCCCTTGGTTTGCTTTCCCCCAGCTTCCTCCTTCTGTTCCTGACCACAAGTTCATTTTCCACAGTGTATTCTTAATACCATGACTGCATTTGTTCACTCTTCCTCCCTCCATTTCCTCATTCCCCTTTACCCTCTTTTTCCTCTTCTTCCTTCTCTCCCCCCTCTTCCTCCCTCTTCTTCTCTTCCTCTCTTTATCCCTCCCTTCTCTCCCTCCTCCTCCTGCTTTCCTTCCCTCTTCTCTCTCACAGTACTAGAGTTTGAACCAAAAGCCTCACCCTCTCTAGGCAGGTGTTCTACACCTGAACTGCACATCCCAACCCATTTTTGCTTTCATTGTTTTTAGGATATGATCTCTCACTTTTGTCCAGAGCTAGCTTCAGACTACATTCCTCTTACCTATGCCTCAAGTGGAGTTGGAGTTACAGGTACTTGCCTGTAACTTGAGATAAGGTCTTGCTAACCTTTACTTAGACTGGCCTTGGACCACAATCCTTCCAATCTCTACCTCCCAAGTTGCTGGAATTACAGGCATGAGCTTCCACACCCTTTTGTTAGCATTTTTACAGTGCAGATCTGCTGACAGTGTATTCTCTGAGAGCCCCCCTCCCAATATAATCCTTATTTCACTTTCAGTTTTTAAACTTTATATCTTAATAAAGATATAATTCATATACCATTCAACTTACCTATTTAAAATACACAATTCACTGATTTTAATTATTCATAGAATTGTGCAATCATTGCACAAATATTTCTGAAACATTTTCCATCACCCCAAAAAGAAAGCCCAAAGTCATAAACCCTCACCCTAGTTTTTTGTCTCTATATATTTACTTATTGTGAAAATTTTATGTAACTATAACATAGCATGTAGTGGTCATCACTCCCTCTTTTTTTTTTTATTGTAAAAAAAAAACTGTACAGAGGGGTTACAATTACATGGGCAAGATAATGAGCACATTTCTTATCAAGCATTGTAGCCTCCTCCTTTGTTTCCCCTTCCCATCCCTTCCCACTCTTCACTTCCCTTCCCCCGCCCCCCCAATCCTCCCTGCCCCCTCTCCCTCCCCTTCCTCCCCCCCCCACCAAAATTGTAACGTTCATTTTCTACTCCCTCTTTCTTTGTTCAAGATCCATCCATGTTGTGGCAAATATCAATAGTTCATTCTTTTTTACAGTTGAATAATATCCCATTTTATAGATATCACAATATCAGCTAATAAGTGTCTGTTTGGGACTGTTATATCTAAGGCTACAATAAGTATTTTTGAAAAAGTTCATATTTAGGAATGTTTTCATCTCTCTTGAATACACAGCCAAGAATGAAATCTGGAATGTCTTTTTGAAGAACTCCCTGAGTATTTGTCATTTTATATTTCTGCCTCTGCTTCATAGAGTCCCAGTTTCTTTACATCCTCATCCAAACATTTGTTATGATTTGTCTTTTTATTATATCCATCCCAGTAGGTTTGAAGTGCTGTATCAGTATGGTTTTGATTTTCATTTCCCTAATAATTAATGAGGTTGAGTATTATTTGATGTGTTTTTGGACACTTAAATATCTTCTTTGGGGAAATATGTTTTGCAAGTATTTTCTTTCATTCTGTAGATAATCTTTATACTTTCTCAGTAGTGTCCTCTGAGACCATAACCGCTTGGGATTTTTCCATTTTGTTTTTGTTTTGTTTTGCTTTGCTTTGCTTTAGGAAGTCTACTGGTCTTTTTCTTTTTAAAATTTTTTGTCCTATTTTTTTTTTAGTTGGTTGTAGGAATTGAACTCAGGGACCGGGCACTGCCCCTGAGTTTTTCTGCTCAAGGTTAGCACTCAACCACTTTGAGCTACAGGTCCATTTTCAGTTTTCTGGTGGTTAATTAGAGATAAGAAATTCATGGCCCAGGGCTGGGATGTAGCTCAGTGGCAAAGCGCTTGCCTAGCAAGTGCAACGTCCTGGGTTCGATCCCCAGTACCAAAAAAGAAAAGACAAAAAAAAAAATACAGTTAAAAAAAAAAGAAAGAAAGAAATTCATGGCCCAGGACTAGTGGCTCATACCTATAATCCTATTCCAGAGGCTGAGATCTGAAGGCTGTGGAACAAAAAAACTGGGAGTAGAGCTGTGGCTTAAGAGTGTTAACCTTAGGTGAAACAAAGGAGGAGGCTACAATGCTTGATAAGAAATGTATTCATTATCTTGCCCATGTAATTGTAACCCCTCTGTACAAATTATATATATATATATATAGGATATATATATCCTAAAAAAAAAAAGAGTGCTAACCTTGAGCAAATGGCTCAGAGACAGCGCCCAGGCCCAGAATTCAAGCCCCATGATAAAAAAAAAATGAGTCTCATGGATTTTCCTGCCTCATGATAAAAGAAAAAAAAAATGAGTCTCATGGATTTTCCTGCCCAGTCTGCCTTTGAATCACAATCCTCAGATCTCAGTTTCATGAGTAGCTAGGATTGCAGGTATAAGCCACCAGTGCCCACTTTGTTTTTATTTATATTTCTGTACCTTTGATTCAAATGTAGAAAAGCATATCCTGACCCAAAGTTATAAAAATGTATCCTTATGTTTTCTTCTAGGAGTTCTATAGTTTCAGCTTTTATCTTGGATCTTTAGACCTGTTTTTTGGTTGTGGGTCTTGAACTCTGGCCTGAGCACTATCCCTCAGCTCTTAAAACCTCTACCACTTGAGCCACAGCACCACTTCTGGTTTTCTGGTGGTTTATTGGATATAAGTCTCACGGACTTTCCTGACCGGGCTGGCTTTGAACCATGATCCTCAGATCTCAGCCTCCTGAGTAGCTAGGATTACAGGCGTGAGCCACCCGGGCCAGTGTCTTTAGACTATTTTGAGTTCCCATTTGTGTGCAATGTATGGTACGAATCTTTATTTATTCTTTTGCATATAGATAGCCAGCTTTCTTTATACCATTTGTTGAAAACCTGTTATTCTTTCCCTATCAACTTATTTTTGACATCTTTGCTGAACACCCTTTGACCATGAACATAGAGACTTATTTCTGGATTCTCCATTGTACTGCACTGATGTCCATGTGTATCCTTTTGTCTGCATAGCATTTCTTGATACTGTTGCTTTGTATTAAAATTTGAAATCAAAACACATGAGTTCTCTAACATTGTCCTTATTTGGGGGTTGGAGATGGGAGTTGAGTCAGGATCTTGCTAATAGCCTAGAGCCAAGGCTGGCCTCAAAACTGACTTTGTTCTTCTTTTCAAGACTATTATGGGTAATCTGAGTCCCTTAAATTTCGCTATGAATTTTAGGATAAGCTTACCAATTTCTACAAATAACCTTCTGGGATTCTGAAATTGTGTTCCATCTGTAGATAAAATGACATAATATCATTAAAATGATATAAAGTCTTCATTTTTGTGAACATGGGATATCTTTCCATTTACTTCCATACTATTTAGCTTTATTCAACAATGTTTTGTAGTTTTCAGGAAACAAATTTTTTCCTGTTAAATTTATTCTCAACCTTTTGTTCCTTTTGTATATTGGTCTTGTATATCAACCTTTGCTGAACTCAATTTTGAGTTCTAATGACTTTTTAGGGGCTACCTGAACTTTTGAAGTTTAGCTTTGTTCAACCTGCAATTTTTTGTTGCCTTCTTTTCTTTCAGCATCTTGAATGTGTCATTTACAGCTCACTTGACAATATTGTTTCTGAGTGAGAAATTAGCTATTTATCATTGTATATCTCTGGACACATTCAAGATTTTTGTCATTGCATTTACCCACTCGACATTCACTGAGATTCTGAGCTACTTGACTTTATAAATTTACCAAATTTTGAAAGCAAGCCTGTAGTCAAAATGTTTTCTGCCTAGTTTTCTGTCTCTTTTCTTGCTAGAACCCCAGTTATGCATTTTTGGAATACATATATGATATTAGCCTACAAATCTCTACACTGTCCATTTTTCTTCTGTCATTTCCCTTTAAATTTTTGAATGGATACTTAAAATATTTAAAATTGGTATAGTAATGAAAGTACTCTATGGTGTTTTGATACATGTATACCTTGTGTAGTATATAAATCAAAGCAAACATTCTATCTTATCATACTCATTATTTCTTTACTGTGAAAACATTTAAAGCACTTTTCTGAAGGACATAGAACGTAGTGGCACCCACAGTGCTTATTATGACTCTGTTTCTTAGCATTGGGTGCTTTCAATTGTTTTTTCTATCACGTTTGCTATTGAACTTACTTTGCAGATACCTACCTTCAGTTATACTTTTCAGCTTTATTGTGTCCATTTGGGTTTTTTTCTGTGTTTTTCATTTCTATGTTGGGATCCACTCTCTCATTAATATAATATTTTCCTAAATCTGTGCACATACTTGAAGTAAGTTTATTAAATTTATTGCCTGCTGTGTGGACTTATTTTGGGATAGTTTATTGTCTATATTTTTTTCCTGAATATCAGTAAATACTTTCCTATTTCTATTCATATTTTGTCTTTTTCAGTTGAAAACTGGACATTGAATATAATAATATTGTAGCCACTCTAAAATCTGTTTTGCTCCTGAGAAATTACTGTTTTTATCCTTCTAAGAGGCAAGTTACCTTCACACAACTACAAATGATTTTAGCTACAGTTTCAGTGGCACCTATCTCTGCCAGTTATTTTAATGACCTCTGTCTGCATCCTGTAGCACAAAGATCTGGGCACCATTTATATTTGATTCTTAGAATTCATCAGACTTGTGGTTTTGTTTTGTTCTGTTTCTGCTGGTTCTGAGGCTTCAACTCTGGACTTGGGTGCTGTCCCTGAATTTCTTTTGCTTAAGAGGAGCGCTCTACCACTTGAACCACAGCTCTACTTCCAGCTTTTTGAGAAGTTTCTTGGAGATAAGAGTCTCACAAAGTTTCCTGCCCAGGCTGGATCCTCAGATCTCAGCCTTCTAAGTAGCTAGGATTATAGGTGTGAGACACTGGCACTCAGCTCTTTTGAACCTGGGATTTTCCTATTAAAATTTCAAATACTCTGCCAACCTTACATTCTTTCTCTTAGTCGTCAAGCCAGAAATGCTTCAGCTTTGTGCTACTTCCTAAGTGTGACAATACAATATTCTATTAGATGTTGTATTATTATGTGTAACTAATTAACATTTTCATCATTTCCAATCTTATGTTATTATAATGATGCAAAAATAGTGGCGCTGTAGCTCAAGTGGTAGAGCGCTCGCTTTGAGCTGAAGAGCTGAGGGACAGAGCCCAGGCCCAGAGTTCAAGCCCCACGACTGACAAAAACAAAAACAAACAAACAAACAAAAAACTATAATGATGCAAAAATGTCTTTGAATACATGTTATTTCACTTGTCTATGAGTATAAGGTAAGGAAAGTTTCTAATAGGAAAACTGCAAATAAGAAGTATATATATTTGTATGCCTTTAATTTTATTTCATGTTAAAATTAACATTGTAAAATATTGTTTTCTGATACTCTCTTTATTTAAGTTCAGTGATCGGGTTTTCTGGTTAATTGATATTCCTAGAGAAAACATCACAAGAAACACAGGTAAGAGTGTTCTGAATTAATTCTTTTTATTAAATTCAGCAAAACATTTATTATACTTAAAATTTTTCATTATCCCATGTAAATGTCCCATGTAGTTTATAGGAGATAAGAAAAGTGATTTGTGGTCTAATTGAAATTCAAGTGTTATTGGGCTTCCTGCATTTTGTCAAGTAATTTTACTATGGATTGATTGTTCTTAGATAATATATTATTCTTTAACCTCATTTTCAATAAATTGGAAACTGCATCAAGAAATTTGCAAGATGAGCCGGGCATCAGTGGCCCAAGCCTATAATCCTAGCTACTCAGGAGGCTGAGATCTGAGGATTGCGGTTCAAAGCCAGCCTGGGCATGAAAGTCCGTGAGACTCTTATCTCCAAAAACCCACTAGAAAACCGGAAGTGGCTCTGTGGCTCAAGCAGTAGAGCACTCGCCTTGAGCTGAAGAGCTGAGGAACAGTGCCCAAGCCCAGAGTTCAAGCCCCACAACTGACCAAAAAAAAAAACAAAACGAAA